GAATATTTGCGAAAAATCGCGTACTCTGGTGTATCAGTAAGACGGGGCGTTACAGCTTGGTATCAGAGCGCGTTTTGCGTCTCTGAAAAAAATTTTCAGTCAGAAATTTTCAAAAATTTTCAGAAAAACCTGAACCGTCACGCTCACCCCTCGCCGACACCAGGTAAGTGCTGATTAAGTTTTTCAGTTATAAACATATTACTTTGTCTATGCTCAGAAATCAGTAGTCAGACTTAAGTTAAGACGCTCAATCAGATTCAGACCTTAGAATTCAGATATAACTCTAGAATTCAGTGGATTCAGACTTGACTTTAGAGATCAGTATATTCAGATATGACTCTAGACTTTATAATCTTCGGTATGACTCTAGAGTTCCTCAGGTTTCATGTCAGTATTTTATCGGCCATTTTTGGCAACTCGTCAAGAGATCTGTGTGCCTTAATAATCAGTCAGAATATCATCATGTTCAATAATTCCGAATTCCTTTCAATGTTCAGACGGCACCAACTCAGGCCACCGTGGTCGCTCAGTTCCGCGATTGCCATGCCGAAGAGTTCTCAGGGCAGGGAGATCCTCGCGCAGTAGACGAGTGAATTCAAAACCTCAGAAAGGGGTTAAGTATGAGAACTTTAGATTCAATTCTAGGTTCATTCAAGTCAAGCTATCAACTTGTCAAGAGATTTGTAAGCACTTGTGCTAAACAAATCTTAATCCTGTTCAAGGCAAAAATTTTTCATGTTAACGGTTGTTATAATAACGGTTTCCAGTGTATAAGAGTCAATAGTCCGGGTTACCATGGAGGCTTGAAATAATAGCCATTCAGCCGGGTATACCATGGAGGCTTGAAGCTGAAACCGGAGCAGTATGAGTTCATGTAATAACAACCTTTCAAGTAAGTCATGTCAGATATTTTATCAGTCATGATATTTCAAGTTATGATTTTCAAAGGATCAAGATCAGCTAATTACTTTGTACTTGCGGGACCAGTTGATACTGGAACAGCCCTATATAGTACAGAGTTGAGAATTCATGTTCCCGATTTTCAGTCCATGTTCATAAT